CAATGAGTCACCTGAACTGAAGTGCATGATACTGCTCATATAAGGATTCCCAGTGGATATTGGTTCTGCAAAGCATTGGAACAGTGTTAGAAGAAGAAAGTGCCATAAAATAGAAAGAGCTCATCAGCGAAGACAAGAGCTTTGTACATCCGAGACTTGCTGTTGGACTTACTATAACTTCAGGCTGCTCTGACATGGCAGTAAAACTACTGTCATATGCAGTTACTATTGCAGTGCCATAGTATCAGTGGCAGGCCATGCATTTTACTCTTTGGCCTTCAGTGGTGTCCTACCTGAATCAAACCACCTCTTAACATCGTCATTATGACGGCACGGCTATAGAAACCATCAGCATTGTGCAGAAAGGCAGCATAACAGGACTTTGCACCACAGACAGGTATCTCATGTAGCGAGAATGAATGCCATTACTGACAGGGTTCTCGCTAGCATTTATTTTTTCAGCCCAGGCTCCTGCCTGAAAAAATTCTCCTACAAATTGGGCTGTTACTTTGTTTTTGAGGGTATGTAGCGGGAAAATATTTAACAACAAGCGTCGATGCAGTTTTTCTACCATCGTCTTCGCTGCGAACGCTGTTATTCCCTAACGTCTTCGCCTCCAACCGTTAGCAGGATACACTACGAACCCTCCCTCCCACTCTCAGGCCAACAACTTCCTTTCGTTTCCTTCCCTTTCATTTTAAGCTGCAGGGGCCAACACTTTTGATTCTGAAGGCCTCAGGGCAGATTTCTGTGACCCTGGCAACACATGATGGCTGAAATATGATGAAGCTCTAATATAAACATACACTGCTGGAAGCACCACAGCCCAGAAACACGTTATTAAATGAAGAGAATAGACTATTGGGAATAGCGTTAAAAGGGAAAATTTTACAATGTAGGTCAGTGATTCTGATAGAGTTTAGGCCAGCAGAGAAGACCTTGCTGGCCCTGACGGCACACCACTGCTACAACATCATTCTGACCAGTTCAAAAACTTCATTAATTTAGGAAGCTAAAAAGGGGAGAGCAAATATATTAAATTAAGGGGAATCAAAGATGCCTTGAACCGAAATTATGACTCTTCAGAAGTAAACTGTAGAAATCTGTGACTGGAATTACAGCCATGCAGAATTCACCAGCAGATATCTATAATGAGAATCAAATGAAAGGTAAAAGTAATACATCTCATGTACATGTACAGTAGTACATCTCCTCTGAACTGCATTATTCACAATATGTAGTCCTGCACCTCTATGGAAGCACCTCGATGGAACAGTTAGAATGTCATAAATCATGAAAACAAAATAAAAGTTGAATTTCTTTGAATATTTATTTTACAAACACTGGAAAACAACAGAATCAACATGTGCAACATTTTCTCAAGTGTCTGCCATTTGTGTTGCTGGTGCTGGACTGGACAAAAATATGGTGAACTGTAGATATTTGACTACTTACATTTTTACCTTTTGCACACTCCATACACAAACTGTAGAAAGAAATTTCACAAAGCTGAATGTATCAACCAACAACCTGCTAACGTGTCATTTTTGACTTATGGTGTTTTTTTTTTTATTGATTCATGATTTTTTATTTTCCTACCAATACTTGAAAAAAAAAAGGTGACCCTACATAATATATATATTTGACTACTTCTGTTTTACTTTAGTTTAGTTACTTGTCTCCTATTGCTCCTATTTTTTATAGAATCTTGTTGGAGCAAGTGGTCAGTTATTTACGCATTTAAACGTGATGCTGAATATAGTGATTTTGATGAAACGTTGTGGTTTTAAAATGAAAGCTGGTTAATTTTCCTGGCATGGAGCCACATGCTACATATGATTAGGTCAAGGACTGTTAGCAATATGATAATTCAACCTTTCTTTTGTTTGTACAGTTTATGGCTCTATTGCACTATCTTATATTTTCACTTTATTGTATATAATGCTTTGTGTATATAGTACTTTGTTTAAATTATTTTTATTTCTAGTATTCTTATTTTTATTCTTATTTGCACTGCTGCTATTGTCGTGTTCTTCCACACAAGTTTCGTTGTACTTCTGCACAATGACAATAAAGTCTCTTTATCTTTATCTGATAAATGGTCTAACTTTAAAGACAACATGCCTTTCAAACCTGCAGGCAGGCTTTGTGGTTCAGAGGGTTTAACGTTAAGTAAACTGACTTCGATAGCTTGACTCTTCTCCTCTGTGGTTCTGTGCTGGTGGAACAAGTTGCCAAACTCTCTTCAATCTGCTGACTCCCTCTCAGTCTTTAAGAAAATACTAAAGACCCAGCTCTTCACTGAACACCTTTGCACTTTACAGCCCGAAAACAAAAAACAAAACAAAGCAAAACAAAAATCCTATTACCGTCCACACAGCCTGCTGTTGGCATCAATGCCCTATCAGACTTGAATTTGTTCTATGGCACTTATCTAGATGGTTTTCTCCTGACTAGATCCTTGCTTGTGTTGTATCTTCTCTCAGATGTACGTCACTTTGGATAAAAGCGTCTGCCAAATGAAACTGTAGAATTGTAGAAGTCAGCTTGACCTGTGTGCATTGATCTCTCAGGGCCATTTTATCTTTACACCCCTTCTGTCTGTAGAAAATACCCCTTACAAAGTGGACAGTGAGTGAAAAATTATAATTCACCTGTTCCTTTTTTTCAGGCTTTCAGGACCCACAGTCCTCTGGCGGTGTGATCCCACCAGATGGTATCTCCCAGCTGGGCTGGGAGGAGCAGGGAGTCTGTGGTGGACCCGAGCTGCAGGACTCCTGCGAGGATTCGGCCCCACTGTTCCTGGACAGACTCCAGTCTCTTGCCGAGGCTGAGAAACTGTTTGACGAGCTGACGCAGGAGAAGCTGCAGGTGAGAGTTTGAGGGGTCATCACATCACAGCAGTTTCCACATTATGCATTAAGTCAGCAGAATAAACTTTACTGTGTAGCGGCTCAGTTAGAGGAGCTTCTCTGACACTCAGGCCTCGACAGACCAACTCTAATCCCCACCTGACCTCTTATGTAACAGGAGCTTCATTGTTTTTACTCCTGAATGACGTCTATTTTTAGGAAGTTCATATCCCACTCTCCTCCCTCTGCCCTGCTCTCCTGGGGACATTAAACTCATCTAATGAGTTCCACTGTTTCAGCCAGGCGCGTGTCGCAGGCTGTTTCATCAATATAATTATTTTTGTGAATAAATGATTAACCTTGGTGTGTGTGTGTGTGTGTGCGCGCGCGCGCGTGCGTGTGTATGTATGTGTGTGTGTGTTGTGCAGATTGAGGCAGCTTTGAGCCGGATGCCTGGAGCAGGTGGCAGAGTGACTCTACAGACCAGGTTAGATGAGGTAAGGCTCCAGGGAAACTGTCCACATATTGATTATGTTGATAAAAGTTTCCTGTGTTGCTTGATGTTAGGCTAAATGATGAGTAGATTCATTATTCAGGTCATTTTGAAACCGAACCCTGAAGCATTAGTGTAATGTAAATTTAATTTGTTTGGGTTTTAGATGGTTTTGAAGACATCAGCTGGATCTCTAGGAAGTCATAATGAGGTCGTTTCAGAGACCACATGATTATTGATGTCTTTTTTGTATAATAACTTTAAATACTGTGAATTAGTTCAAATACATTTCCTCCCAATACACATCTGTAATCATTAGTCAAATAACCAGTTTAGATTTGCAATGTAACAAGTTTGATTTCAGGGTAGATCGAGTTACACCAATTTAAAAACTATGTATTCGTCACTCCACCTCTTCACTCCAGACTGAAATATCTCATCAGATGAATAGCTGTTAAATTTGAAGATCCTTCATTGCCAAATTCTGGCCAAAGTCTTCATTTATCCAGTTCTTTGGTTTTTGACATAGAGACCAGTGAAATAATAATGAAATTCCCATCAGCCTCAGCTTCACTTTGACTTCAGTGCTAGTTTGCAAATTTTAGCATGCAAACAGGCTAAACTGAACTGCTGTCAGCATTTCCATTGTTATTGTATATTAACATGCTGTGTTAGCATAGGCTGCAGTTTGTTAGTCTTGGTCAACATTTTATGGCGTTTTATCGACTAAACTAGTTCTGGAATACCTAAATAAAGCAACTTTGTGTTCTTTGTGTTTTTTACAGTTTCTGACCATGATAAAGGGTGCAATTGTGGGGATTTTATAAAAAGATAACATGCTTTTCAAACTTGCAGGGGGTTTTAGGGATTCAGAGGATAAACTAAACTACTGCCTACAACTTAGAAATCCCCTTTTTCTATGTGTTCTTTTCTCCACTATATTTTATTTATGTATTTTTTGTATTCTTACCTACTTTGTAAAGCGTCTTAGAGTGTCTTGAAAAGCGCTATATAAGTATTATCTGTTGTTGTTATTATTATTACTACTACTACAGCTGATCAGTTGTCAGACATTTCAGTTTCTGCTCCATTTCATCCTCAGGTGGCCTTAGAGAATCGTCTGGAGAGGCTGAATCGTGAGCTGGGATCCATCCGAATGACTCTGAAGAGATTCCACGTCCTCCGCTCCTCTGCCAACATATAGCAATGTCTGTCTTCTTACATTAGTGTTGATGCTACAACTTAGTGTCTTGGTTTTATACACAGCACTGATTGTCCTCCTGTCTCTTTCTGTGCCATGAGCCCATTTGTACAGCCAGTCCATCACATTTTTTTATACGTATGACTTATTACTCGGGGATATTTTTTATATGTCTAAAACATATTGCAATTTTGGAGTATATTTTTAGTAAAGCACAGATTTGTAAAGTCGTTTACTTTTTTAGTCACAGAAATATTAATACGATTCATAGGTTTTACCTGCCACATTCAGGAGTAGATTTTTAAATCGGCTCAGTGTAAATGTGAATGATCAAAACAACTTTCCAGCAGAGTTACTCATCCACTTGGGAAAAATCACTGCCATTTATGCACTTGTGTTTATTATGCTTTTTAAATCTTTTCCCATTTGACAGGACATAAAACCTTGTTATTTATGCTTTTATGTGTCAAAGTTAGTTTTTAGTGTCCTTTCTGCTGTTATTTATCGATTCTAACATGTTGCTTTGGGCCAAACCTCTTCAACTTGAATGAAATATTTGTTTACTTGAATCAAATCGCCTTTTTCCTTTGTTTACGTTCCATTTACTTGTTGTTTTTTGCTTTATGTTTAAATTTCGCCACAATACTGGACTAGCACACACACATTTCCACACACATTCAATCCTCAGTCGGCTGTTTTCCTTCAGTGATGCTCGTGCATGGAGTTTCTTGCACTGCTTCCTTTTTGCCATTCAGTTTTCCTACAATGACATGAACACCACTGGAACTGTAATGTTGTTGTTGCACAATAAATGAAGCTTTTTAAAATAACTAGAACTATCATTCGTTTTTAAGCTGTTTCACAACAGATTGATTTGAGGTGTTTCATGTTTTGTAGGCAGTGTGAGTGTGGGGACAGATCATTTTATTCTCTTTTCCAAAATATAAAATGCATGTCTGAAATAGGTCTGAAGTTTAAACAATCAAAGCAAAAGCACAGACAGACGTTAGAAGACCTTAAAGAAAAGACAAGTCTCATGACATATAAATATTGTGGGACCCCAATGTGTCTGAAATAATCTTGTGTGCAATGCATGGATTATTAAACAAGGGGCCCCAGGGCACAGATGTGGCCCTCAATCATTCCTACACAAAAGCAAGCGTCATATATTGAAAGAGAGTTGTCTTTGGTCCTCATGCGTCTGCTTTGTTTTTTTCTTTTCTTTTCTTTGCAGGAATTTTATGTCTCTGTGGCTGTGTTGTGTCTTTTTTTTTTTTTTTTTTTAGATAACTTTGTGTTTGTGGTTGCTTTGTGTCTTTTGCTCTTGTTTTGTGTCTTGTGGCCGTTTTCTGTCTGTAGTTGTTTTGTGTCTGTTGGAGGTTGTTTTATGCAGTTTTCTGTCTGTCTGTGCCATTTTGTTTTCATTTTATGTCGAGTTTTTTGTGTGTCTTTGTGGTTGCTTTATGACATTTTGTTTCTGTGGTTGTTTTGCATTTCTTTGTGGTTGTATTGTGTAAGAGTAGATGTGCATGTTAACACGTGAAAAAGACAATTAAAATAAGAAAGCCTCAAACAGTTCTATCATCCACTATGCAGAAGCTCAGATATAGCTCCACTCTTTCAATAAATGTAATTAGATGTAATTAGTTTTATATATATAGCACCAATTCACAACATATGCCATCTCATAGCACTCCATGTAGTGAGATATACAAATTTTCAACAGACAAATCCAAAGTTAATAAACCAGTTTTTACCACAGTTTATGTCGCTACTGTGTGACAGTTACAAGTGTAAGATAAAATAAATAAATAAATAAAATAGCACCAATATTACAAAGAATATCATGCAGAACATAACAGACGACACCATTTCTAAGTCATTACACAGTTAATTAAATAAAGCATACACAAAATCATAATAACCACACAATTAACAAGTACAGTAAGTAATGCTAGTTATCAGGTTAAGTTAAGGTGTATTTTCTGAGATGAAAAATGTGTGTCTAAATTTCTTTAAAAAATTTTAAACACGTAAGTTTAAAAAAAACAAAAAAACAAAACATTTGCTCAGTGCAACAACATGATTGGTTTAATATTTCCCGCTTTGGCCGTTATAAGGCAGAAGATTCGCTGTTTGGGGAAAGAGGGCGGGACATCTGCCACAGTCTCCTTAGCAACGGTTCTTCCATCGGTCAAACGAAGCTGTTGGATAAATGGAGGTAAAGGTTGGGAGAGAAACAGTAAGAAACTGACACAGACTTCATTATGTTTGTGTTTTTTTTTCTTCCTTTTTTTAAAGCTTAATGTGAATTGTTGTGATATTCTGCTTAAACAACGTATATGTGGAGTTTTACTAAATGCTTTCACACAAGACATCCTTGAAACAAGCTAGCTGACGGCTACATTAAGCTAGTTAGCGAGTTCTCTATAAACCCTGTAGCTGGTTTGAGCAGAATATCAGAACAAGTCAAATGTAATACGAGTTGGTTTGATATTCTCCCAACCTTAATATCACTAGTGAACAACCCAAAGCAGTCTTTATACATGTAAACTGTTTGTGAAGGATGGCTTTCTTACTCCAAGGGCCTCTGCAATGAGGGCTGAAGTATCAAAAGTGAAAGTACTCAATGTGAGTGCAACATTTCAGAAAATGAAATTGCACATTACGGTAATGTGGCACGTTGGCTCGGTAGATAGCACCGTGGCCTCACAGCCAGAAGATCCCAGTTAGGAGTTTGAACAGGCATGTTCTGTGCAGCCTGGGTTCTCATCAGTACCCACAGTCCAAAAACATTCTAAATTGTCCGTTGGTGTTAATGTGAGTGTGCTTGTTTGTCCTTAAGGGCGACAGCCTGGGTCCCCAGTGAGGATTAGGCAGTGGATAGATAAAGGATGGACATTACAGTAATGTAGCAGCTAGTAAACATGGGACTAATTTTCATTCAATTTGTGCTTAAATGAATGTATTTATTTTTGCGCAAAAATATTACAATCACAGGTGAAAATAGAATGAATGTACAAACTAATTAAATTAGCTTTAAGATATTTTAAAGGAGAAGAAACTTTGGCCTGATTTAAACCAATATTTTAGTTGATTAGTTTAATAACATAAGGGCATATTTCATGTGTTCTCTCTGACACATCAGTCATTATTTCATGACATATACTACTTTTGCAAACAGAATGGAATAAAGTGGATTACTACTGTACTTTGTTATTACTTTTAATCACCTGTGTTTAGCAGGAGTGAAGGACAACGCCTCCAATAGAGCCTATAAGTCTGTGTTTATAGGAACAGTAAAGGTTTGTAGCTTTGTAATAATAACACTGAAAGGGAGTTAATTCACTTTCCACAAGCGTTATCAATAATACACACAGGAATAACCTGTGACGAAAGCAAATGCAGCTTTCCAAATTATTTGCAACTTTCAAGCTGAAATTATGACTTGATAGGTGGTTTGTATAATAAGTATCTTCCAGCTTCCATCCTCGTTATTTATTATTTGAGTGAAACATGCAGACATTACAGCAAAGTATTAGGTTTATGATGATGTTCTTGTTCTTTAATTTAAAATAGCATTTTAAGTGTGTGAGTTTTAGTATTTTTATATGCTGGTATTGCTCGTTTTTAGCTGTGGCGCAGTGTTTTTACACTGTGGTATCACTACACAGGGTACACCGTGTTCCCTGCCTTTTGCCCTCAGTCAGTGGAGATAGGCTCCAGCCCTCCTGAGACCTTCAGCAAAACCAAAAAGGATGGTATCATTGCTATTTTTACTTGTAACACAGTGTTTTATATGCTGGTATTACTATTTTACTAGTACAGAATATTTTTTATGCTGGTGTTGCTATTACACCATTATTACTGTTTTACTTGTAACAAAGTATTTTATGTACTGGCATTACCATTTCAGTTGAAACGCTATTTAGATACTTTTGTGTTGCTGTTTTATTTGTGGCACTAGTTTTGTACGCTGATTCTGCCATTAGTGTTAATATCACTGTTTTTACTTGTAACAGAGTATTTCTGTACTCTGGTGGTGCTATTTTTATTTATTTATTTATTTTTTTACCTGTAGCACAGCAGTTTTAAACTGTGTTTTTGTTGCTGTTTACGTGATTGAAGTGTTCTTCCAGCAGGCGGCTGTGCACCGCTAGGGGGCGCCTTTCCCCCTTGCTGTCCTGCAGGAGAGCGTCCTAAGCTCTGATGTAACTGTAACATGGGTACATGGTCATCAGCCACCGGCAGCACTCAGCACAGGAGCCCAAAGCCCGGACAGGAAAGCCGGCTGCAGGGTGATGGAGGAGCGGCGGTGACAGCGGCACTGATAGGCGGACGCACACGGGAGAATGAGCGCTGTGTGTGGAGGAACAACAGGACGGACACCGCTCTGCCTCCACTGTAACACATAAACCCCGATATATCATCAGGCTGCCCTGTGAAAATACACCTTGAAGTACAGCGATGTGGCTGATAGCAGCGCCGAGGACATCGGGCTGAGGAGCTGCACACTCTGCAGGTGAGCCACTGATGATGATGACAGAACTGTTGTTGACGCTCAGAGCTGAGAACACGATGTCACTGCTAATTAACGCTCCTACCGCTCATTAATTAGTCTAATTGACGCGATGCAACGGTTAATTAATTCCTTCATTATTTGTTGAATGGAGCTGCGGTGGGCAGGTGGCGTCCGTCACTGTAGCAGAACAAAGCAGCTGACCAATACACAGTCTGAAAATGTGATTCTGAGCCACAGCAGGGCTGTGTGAGGTCATCATGTGTGTCTGTCATGAAGGAATTATTAGACAAGGGGCCCCTGGGCACAGACATGTTAAAGGTCCTCAACCATTACTACACTACTCAATAGTTGTTTTCTGTCTGGTTATGAGAATGTTGTGATTATTTGTGGTTGTCTTTATGTCATTTTGTGTGTCTCTGTGTTTTGTGTCTATTATTGATCATTTTGTTTCTCATTATGGTTATTTTGAAGTCATTTTATCTTTTTTTTTGTGGTTGCTTTGTGCCTCTGTTTTGCGTTTGTCTTTTTGTTGCCTTTTTGTGTCCCTTTGTTGTTGTTTGTGTTGTTTTGTAGTCATTGTGTGTCCCATTGTGGATGTTTTGTGTCTCTTGTTTTTTGTTTCTCTGTGTTGTGATTTTATGTCTATTTCTTGTCTATTCATGCATCAGTTCATGATAATTTTATGTCTCTCTGTGGTTGTTTTGCATCTCTGTTGTCATGTGTTTCTTTGAGGTTGTTTTGTGTTTCTTTGTGGTCATTTTGTGTCTTTGTAGATGTTTTGCGTCACTGTGTTTGTTTTGTTTGTCTTTGTGGTCATTTTGTGTGTTTGTGGTTGTTTGTGTCTCTCTGTAGTCCTTTTGTGGTTGTTTTTTTTTATCAGTTTGTCATTAATATTTGTTTCTTTGTCGCTGTTTTTCATTGTAGTCATTTGCCATGCTGTTGTTGTTTTGTGTCTTCAAACAGATGCTTATGCCTCAGGGCCCCCTGACCCTTTGTGGCTAAATATTACCCTGCATTACATTCATGTTTGCTATGTTGTTGTCTTCCTACTGTTGTTGGTACATTGCCACAGTCTTGTACACCTCGTTAGCAGAATAGTGCATGTCCTCGAGTGTGTGCGTATTACAAACTGGTACTGATCCACTCGTTACAGCTCTGCTTCACAGCCCTGCCAGAGGTCAGAAACTCCACAGGCTACCTTCAGGATTTGAATATGCTCTGCAATACAGAGCCACAACATGAGGAAGTAGTGCACAACAAAATTAACGTTAATAATCCATGACATTAATTAGCAGAAATTTTGAAGGT